GGCGTATATTTTTGTATGAATGTGAACATATAAACGTGCGTCCACGAGATGAAAAATTGTCAGCCAAGTTGAAAGAAGTGTTTCATTATACAATTCATATGGAAAAATTGAATTTTGGTTTATGCTACAGTTCCTTGTGCACTCACAAAACTTTGTTTGCTCGACCTCTTTATCCCCACGGAATCAAACGCTTTTCATGTAACTAATTTCTATTTTCTCTCTTCACGCTACCGTAGTGTTCTCGCCAATAGCACAGCTCGAACATCCGGTATATAAAACACACAGCCAGCAAACCCCGTATTCACTCTGAAAAAGGCGGCTAGCGCTGGAAATGTCAGCTTCTCAACCCAGGGGAGGGAGATACTCAACAAAATTTTATACGTGGAGGCTCCAGCCCCTAACTCTTTTATATACCAGAAAAGGTACCCCTTTCGTATACGTTTTTTTTTTTTTTTTGACAAATGGTACCCCTTTCACATACCAGTTTAGAACGCGGCATCCATTTTAACTGCTGTATATACACCGTGAAATATGAAAAATAAATCACTGAAACAGGAAGTGTCTTGTCTTTTTTCACAGCCATAAAATGTGCCTGTTATCAATTTTTTACCCTTTCACAGACCGCAATGGCAGATTTCCCTTCCCTTTCGTATACTTCAACTTGTTAAATCCTTACCTTCTGATATACCTAATTAGCCTAAAGCCTGAAAAAGGTACCCTTTTGGTAGGAGCCTCCCTGTATGGGCCATTATAGGGCATTGTAGGGGGTAACCCCTCCAGGGCTTCTCAACCCCCCGGTGGCCAATCGACTTTATAAACTCAGTTGATAAAACTAATTTCTAGCATTTCACTGACCCCTGACGCAACACCACAGTTTCTTTAGAAAATGACCCCTTCATTCTTCATCTGCTCGACCAAGAGCCATTATGGCTCTTGGCTCGACCCATCTGCTGGACCTAGTCGGTGACGTATTGTTGCTGAACCCTTGTTCTTCTTGTTATAGGGCTCTTTTCGAAGCGCTGGATATTCCCCTCATAGGTGGATCAGCAGAATCGCGTTATCTTAGCATGGACAAACTAAAGACACGGGGTGTTTTGCTGGCCTACAACAATGTCTCTTGTGCCGAGGGATTAGTTCTCAACAAAGGTACACGTCTATTAACGGTTAACATGGGACAGATATGATAGTGTTTTAGAAAAAGAAATTCTCTTGAGTCGAGGTCTGGGGTATCACTTCCACAATCCACTCTCCTCTTTTCGAGTTGATAGAACTAAAGTTTACAGAATAGTTCGTAGCACAAAGAACACGAGAGCCTCAAACCAGCCGGACGCTCTCCGGACTTCTAACCGAACTCTACAATACTAGTGAACTTTATCGCATGGCGAATGTCTGTTTACGGCGATAAGTCCACGAAACAAATGGTATCTTAAAAATTTTATGAAATATCACCAGTTAATAAGAGGAAAAACTTTATCCCGCAGTTCCACGGTACAATAAGACCATGGACCGTCATTCGTGTTTTTTGCCATTGCGAAGTCAGGCAACGGTGAACTAAGAAATGCCCATGATAAGTTGCGGTATGATGCCTACGTTTTTACGCCGGCCAGAGAGTCTAGGATCAACTGTCATAATGCGACAACGATTTCCGGTGTTCTCTTGATAAAATCTACACAGTATCCTGATAAGGACAGCAAAATTTTCGATATCGATTATTCTTTCCCGTGTAACGGGAAATTTTACTTCCGGTAAACATAAAAACCGCGCAATCATTGTGACATCATTCCGGGATGTTCTGTTCCGCGGAAAACAAGAAACGACTAGGAAATTTGCTTGCCGTAAAACAGAATGTCCTAAAAAGACGTCACAATCATTCCCTGTCTCCTGTTTTCAGTGGTACGGTTTTGTACCCCACCGAAAGTGAATTTCACTTTTTTGTACGTCCTGAATCACGGCAATGCGGATATCCGAAAAAAAAATTTGCTTCCCTTATCAGGACACTGTAATATAAAGATTCTACTAAGCAAAAAATAAGGTCATACACACTAGCGCCGTAATATTTGATGGATCTGTTCTTCCCCTTCTGTTAAATCCTAGCTATTGTGACTTTTAATTTTCATTCCTGTCCGCATTGATTATCAATTTTGCGAGTAAGAACTGTGTGTAGGAAAATGTCATCGTGATAAATAACCTTGAACCTGCTTCCTTGTAGCGTACTGTGAGATTATTGAAAGTGATAATTTATTTTTTTGGTCACAGGAGACCCAATACCAACTGCCCATATCAAGTATCCCTGTATTGTCAAGGCAAGCAAAGGAGAGGATTCTAAAGCAGTGCGACTGGTAAGGGACCGGCAGTCTTTAGATGCAGCAATTGAGCATGCGCTGACTTTCTCGAACCAAGTAATTATTGAAAGGTAGGTTCTTGTCTTATCTGTTTTTCGCGTTTTAAAAACTATTCCCAATTCCAAACATTTAAGCTTTTAATTAAGAAGAGAATATTTGGGGTGACAGTCAGTAGCTGATCCTTATCACTGCCAAAGTTTCGGCATTTAGCACTAAAATGTTTCTTCCCCGCAAAGAATTCACTGTCAGAAAAGTGGCCCAAATGATTAACTGAAAAGGGAAACTCCATTTCAAAGGAAGAGTGCGGAAAGCATCGTACGCACGTAAACGTCATCCCTCAATGTTCTTAAATCCCGGCTGAGTAGCAGTCAGCTACCCCTTTAAAGAGTTTGGACAAAGCTTACCTCGTTGACAGGTACGGTAAGAAAAGGAGGCACAAATCGAAAATAAATAAATAAAGCGACATGGATACAAACATTTTGGCTAAACAGCTATCTCCAGAAAGGCTGTCGGAAAAAATTTGCACGCAGCAATCCCGAAAGTTACAGTTCTCGACAATAGGGCCATTTATACGAGGAAAAATAAGACGCGTCTTACACAAGACGTCTTAAATAAGACGCGAACTGTACCATTTATACGAGCACGTCTTATCTAATAAGACGCGTCTTAGCTAAGCCGCGTCTTATTTTAGACGAAATGTGCCGTTTATACCGTTTATATGGAAAGTTCGCGTCTTATGTAAGACGCGTCTTATTTTTCCTCGTATAAATGGCCCTAATGTAGCTGTCGAACCTACTTTTGTTGCTTTCCTTTAGCACTCGCAAACATACATCCATAGGCTCTAGAACCATATTCTTTGAAATTCCTTTGGAGACAGTGAACTCAAAATCACCTACCTACAATACCTTTCGGGATTCTCGCGAGCACTTTTTTTCCGACAACCTTTCTCCAAATAGCTGTAGATGCACTGTGCATCTTTGCACTGAGGCATGTTTGTGCCGTTTTTGTACAGATTCATAGAGGGACGAGAGATTCGGTGCGCTGTAGTCAAATCAGAAAAAACTGGAGATATACAGGCCTTGTCGTGTATAGAATTCAACGTACGTAAGGATGGCATTCGTACAACCCAGGATAAGTTACTCTGCGATGAAAAAGGATTACCTATTTGTGAGTATCACATTTCTCTTCATTCGTATAAACAAATTCAAAATAAATCATAAATCTTGGCTTGATCCATTAAATTCATATCAACACTTGTTAATTCATTAATTGCCCAACACTAAGTTATGATCAGTGAAAAGAATATGTACCATCAGTCACATGTACACCTCGGTAAACCCCCAAACAAATCAATACAGTCAACTCTCTCTAAGACGGACACCTTTGGGACCGGCACTAAGTGTCTGTCTTAGAGAGATGTCCGTCTTATAAAGAGTCAAATAAAGGGAATAAACAAAGGAAGGGACCAACTCTAGGTGTCCGTTTTACAGAGGTGTCCGTCTTATAGAGCTGTCCGTTAAGAGAGAGTCGACTGTAAGCCATCTGCACGATGGCGTCATTTTATTTACTACTACGACCATAATCCTTTTCGTTTTCCTTTAATATTTAAATTTTGTAATCCCAGTGAGGTTTGAATAACAAAAGCCCTAATTAGCACAAGAAAGCAAAACCCTGAAGGGTTCTGGTCGTAGTAGTAAAATCATGTCATCGTGCGAAATGGCCTATTGGTTAAAGGAATTAGTAAGATAAACTTAGATATATTTCTAGCAATCGCTTTTCTCTCAGCGGAGAGATCTAGGCGACAGACAGAAACAGGTCTGTGTTCTCCGTCGGGCCAGTCATTGGTATCAAATAATAGTAAACTATCGAGATGATTTTACATTGAGAGTTGTTACTTTTTTTTATCTATCTTTACATAGGCAAGGCACCAAAAAGTAAGACTTGGTTTCTTGATCCCGCAAAGGAAGCTGAGTTGATAACCCGCATCCAGTCACAAAGTCGTCGAGCTTTTCTAGAGTTAGACCTGCAAGACTTTGGCCTTTTCGACTTCCGGGTAGACCTTGAAGGAAATCCATTTTTTCTGGAATGTAACCTGTTCTGTTCGTTTGGTTTTCAGAGTTTTCTTAATGTAGTTGCCAGGAATTCTGGTTTTACCGATGAAAGTTTGTTTGATTTAATGGTTCAGAACGCTTTGTTACGGAAAGAGAAGATTTACTGAGGAGTATATGAATTTACGGTATCTTAGAGCACTTACACCACTTTTTGAACTACTTCTATTGTTTTTGCTTGTGGTCAAACGGTCAGGAAATTGTCAGAATATTCTGTTAAGTAAAATCGCTCTTTGTGAATAAATACTATATAGTTAAGGACCAAACCCAAGTTTATTTATGTTTATTTTGCTCAGTTGATAGTCAATAACAATATCCCCTTAATTGAAATGAAAGAACCTAATTAAGAACCTTCTAAGCCTAAATTGTCAATAACTTGCCAAAAATTCAAGAAACTTTATTTACCAGACTTAAAAAAAGTAGGTTCCGACACACGGCTTTTTTAGTACATGGATCTCTTTAACTTGTAGGTTTTAGGGGAATTTGGCCCTTCAGTTCAGTTTAATTATGCCTACATATAAAGGTGAATAAAATCGTGAATTATAAGACACGTATCCTGATATTTTTGAATCCGCAACTTTTTTTTTTCCGGTTTCAAAACTTTCTACGCGTATGCGTATTTAAATCGAATTTGCCCTTCCACCCGAATCGGGATTCACTCTGGTACCCAGGGGGGCTCCTCTGGGAAAATTGGCAACAGATCAAGCGTCGAGGTCGCCATCGTGAATACAATATTCACGATAAAGAACTGGGCTCGATATTGTTACGTCACCCGATAAAAATATCCGGATTAAGCGTCCACACGATTCCGGATTTCACGGCACATTCAAAATTTTCCACTCTAGAGAGCGGATTAAAAAGGTGCTGATTCGTATGCCGGATTCACTAGATACGTGTAAACGGAAGCCGTATCCGGAAAGAAACAGTTGCGGTGTCACAGCGTTTTGGGCATCCCCGCGTTTTGGGCATCCCCATTCCCAAATCCCTAGCGTTTTGGGCATCCCCTTCTCATATTACTGCAGCGTTTTGGGCATCCCCCGGTACCCTCCCGGGATGCCCAAATCCCTAGCGTTTTGGTCATCCCCTCCAAAAAAACTGCTGGATTTCGCGGGAAAATCGAAAACGTTTTAGAGATGGCTTCCTCGAAATATAGAAATCTTTTCCAGTATCTTAAAAAGAAGGCTTATCCGGAAGGCTTTACAAAGCAAAAAACGACTCTGCGAAAATTTGCCAAAAAGTTCGAGTATGACTGAAAATTAGAGTCCTTGTTCTACGTGGCCAAGGAGAAGGATGGCACAGCACTTCGACGACTTGTTATCACCGAGGAAGAGAAAAGCGAGGGTCTTCGAAGAGTGCCACTCTGCTCCTTTCTCTGGACACGCCGGGCGCGATAATACTTTTGCACCCTGTGAAGGTTGTTCCAAGGTGTGGTACTTGGTCGGAATTGATTTAATAGAAGCCATTACTACATGTACATCTCAAAACAACAATAGATTTATTCTGTCCCGTAGGTGCAAGAGGCCTCTGTATAAATTGTGTGACAACCTTTTGTGTGTCAAGTAGCGCTGCGGGGTTAAGTTGTACAGGCCTCAAATGTCATGCATACTATGAATTCAACACCGCAAAACGCAGTTTTATTCATGTTTGTCATTTGATTGCTTTGTTTAGTATTCTTGTTTTTGGCTGTTTGGAATCATACGATCGTAGCTGCCCGTGATTGCGGCATTGCTCGCTTGTAAACAGTTCTATTAAATAAAATTGAAGCTTTGCAAACAATGAAGCGTTGTACAGCGAAGCGATGTTATGCGGTTGTAAATTTCAGTTTCGTCATGTTTTGAGCCAACGTTTACTGCCTATGGGGTTTTTTTTCTGCGCAATAAACCCGGCGAAAAATGTCAGACGATATAATTCTAACATGCATCTACACTATTCAGCCGTAAATTCGTGATTAACAATCCTGACTTTTCCCCAGTCTGAAATAATTTAGGCAAAGTCGAACCGACCAGCGTTTTGGGCATCCCCCACCGGGGATGCCCAAAACGCTAGGGATATGGGAATGGGGATGCCCAAAACGCGGGGATGCCCAAAACGCTGCGACAGCGGATTAAAAAATATCCGGATACGTGTGGACTGGGCCTGAACGAAACAATTCTCGAGAATATTATCACGTGACCTGCATTGTGCGTGACTCAAACGTGGCTCAAACCAGGTGCCTTTTTTGTTTTACCAATTCAGAATATGCTGAAATCCGTTACTTTCCACTCCATAACTACAACCATGTGCTATGTTACGGTGAACTGAGCACCTTTAGCATCAAAATCCTTTCAAGGGTGACAAATATTGAGCTAACATCATTCTGACTAGCTAGAGGTTGGGTGAGAAGCGATTTTTTGCTTCTCTCTTCCCCTCAGAGAAGCCTGATAGTCAGGCCCATGATTAGACTTGTTACTAGTCGACCTGTCATAAGTTCTTAGAAACGAACGCTGAGGTCGGGCAGCCACCGAGCGAGCGAAAAAGTCGTGAGGTCGACTTATTTCACCTGAATGGATTTAAATCATGTATACATTTACGCGGTAAAAACTGATTGACAATGAAGGCTGTGTATCAGTCACTCCCCTATTGGGAAATTGTTATGCCGTCAGCGGTGGAATTTTCGACCGGTGAATTAGCGCCAAACAGGTATGAAAAGTCCTTTTAAATGATATAACCAACCAAGAACAAAAAAATAATGAAAGGACTTTTAGAAAGTCTAGCCAATGATGAGCCGGTCAACCGACCTGAGTGAGAGGTCATTGTTAAAACTATAATGAGCTCTTGTTACACTCCAGTATAAAACGACCCTCTAGTGGCGAGGGTGCATATGAATAAAGCAAAGGCTTCGGTTCTTAGCATCTAGAAAATATGACCTCACACTAAGCACGGGGTTATTACATTTGATTTGTATAAACGTTTCGGAGCACCAGCATTTTCAGTCCTATATGGATTGTTCTCTGCTCATGTGAACCATCTACGGCCCCGTGTCCGTATCAATGAGGTTCAGTATTGATTTTAGACTAGTTTTAAAGTAGTTACGTCTGCTACAATACGATTTTTAAAGTTTCTTTTTTTTTAACTTACGAAATTACCGTATTTACTGTAAAGGTGTAACAATCATCTGTGTCTTTTTCTCTCTACAGTTAAGCCACCAGCAAGTCAAACTTGGTTTCTTGACCCCGCAAAAGAAGCTCAACTAATAAACCGCATCCAGTCTAGAGTACTTTAGTTAGGCCCAGAAGACTTTGGCCTTTTCGACTTCCGCGTAGACATCGAAGGAAATAAATCCATTTTCTCTGGAATGTAACCTGTTGTGTTCGTTTGGTTCTAAGAGCGTAATCAGTGCAATCGTTAAGGATTCTGGTCTTACGGATGAAAGTTTGTTTGATTTGATGGTTCAGAACGCTTTGATGCGGACTTGAATAAATGGCTGCTGAATAAGTGATAAAATACTTGAATAATTCATTGATTAAATGAGTGATCGATAGACAGATTGATTGAATGATTGATTGATTGATCGATCGATCAAGTGGAGTGAGTAAATGAGAGAGTAAGAGACTGAGTTAGTATTTTATGAATAAATCGATTCATTGATTGATCAGGTACCGCGGAGGGTCCGCTTGGCTCACTATCTTAGAGCCTGGAAAAGACTAACTTGAAACAGGAGCCGATTAGGGATCCTGCTTAAAAAATTCATCAAGTAAATAATATGAAGCTCAGTGACAAATTGAATGGACGAATCGATACGTTATCGCGGCATGTATGAATTTACAGTTCAGTATTTACAATTAGCATGACCAGTTACTCAGATTCCTCGGTCTGGATCCAGACCACATCAGAAAATGTTATTTTGCAATTACCCCTACTTGAAACCGGATAGGAACTTCTTGTGTTGGTGTAGTAGCTGCAGCCGATGTGGTCAGTATAAAGGTAAGTTCTGATGAAGACGCATCAGCGTTTCCTGATGTAGCCGGTTTATCCACTGACGATGCCTCCGAGCTGATCGTTGTAGCTAAAGAGTCTGAGGCTATTGATAGCATGTTTTCTGAACGGGATGCCGTAGTTGGTGCCGGTGCAATAATTTCTGTAGCTGTAGAACCAACTGTGGTTGCAGTTAGTACTGTAGATGGAGTTACCGCTGTGCCTGTTATGGTTAGTATCGCTGTAGTCCTTGTTGATGAAGTTGCCGTTGGTGTTGCCGATTTAGTTGATCCAATGTCCAGAGTTGTTGTTGATGATGTGTTCGCAGCCTCTAACGCCACTGTTGATGTAATAGCTGTAATGACGGAAGCTGTTGACGGTGTGATTCCGTCAGTGTTTGTAGTTGTTACTTGTTTGTTTGGTGTGACTACAGTTGATGGATAACTGACTTTTGATAAAGGAGTGGATGTCGCTGTATTTGTGACGGATGCCCTAGCAGTATCCATCCTTGTTACCTGAACCACTGTAACTGTTGTCGGAGCACTTACTGTGAGATCAGGTAAACCTTGTGCGGAGGTTGCATCTCCTGATGTTGGCGTTATTTTTGTTTTTGTAGTTGAAGTTTCTGCAGCTGACATATTCGCTGTGGGCGTATCTTCTGTACCTGTTGTTGGTGTAACTTTTAGCAAACTTCTTGGCACACTGGCTGTCGACGAAGAAACTGTTTTAGTCTCCGCTGTTTTCGTTCCTGGTGTGGTAGTAGGTGGGTTGCTTCCAGCTGTAGTTTCTGTGGCTAATGTATTTGCTGCTGTTGCTGTTATAGTTTCTGCATCTGTTGCAGTCTTTGTTTGTGGCAGTGGTGTTGTTTCTTGCAAAGTCAATGAAGTCATACCCGCCGTAGACAATTTAGCTTCCATACTCGTAACTGCTGGAATTACTTCTAACGAAAATATTGAGGCCTCTGAACTTGATGCATTTGTTAGAGAAGAAATCGTTGCGTTTGGGCGTTCTGCTAATGTGAGTATATACGATGGTGATGGTGTACAAACAGTTACCGTCGATGTCAGTATAGATGTAGTCGTTATTGTGCTAGTTGTTGTTTCTGTTCTTGTAACTGAGCTGTTAGATGATGCCATACTTGGTGCGATCGATGATGTCGTTGAGGTTGCTGTTGTTGAAGCTGGGTTGGGTTTAGGGTCGGGATCAGGATTAGGATTAGGACTTGGGTCTGTCTTCGGGGTAGGTGGCGCAGTACACTTATTAAACAACTTCAAGTTCGTTTGTAACGCAGCCCATTTTCCGAAGTCATGAATTGTACGCCGCTCTCCCCAGTCCCATTTCNGATGATGCCATACTTGGTGCGATCGATGATGTCGTTGAGGTTGCTGTTGTTGAAGCTGGGTTGGGTTTAGGGTCGGGATCAGGATTAGGATTAGGACTTGGGTCTGTCTTCGGGGTAGGTGGCGCAGTACACTTATTAAACAACTTCAAGTTCGTTTGTAACGCAGCCCATTTTCCGAAGTCATGAATTGTACGCCGCTCTCCCCAGTCCCATTTCCACACGTTCCACCACTGATAAAAAATTCCGGCATTTAGTTCCAGTGCTTTCAAACGCAAACAAAGGGTTACACACCACGTTTTGTCACAATAGGATAGGGTCACAGGGAGCCCAATTCGCACTAATGTGCCTTCTCCATAGGCACCAGCACGGATAGCGTGGGCTGATATATAGCCTTCAATACTTGCCGTGACTTCGGAGAAAGGCTCAATCTGTCAAGAGAATAAACCTCTTGTAACTAAATTGAATAGTTAATAAAGGTTTACATTTTCATTGTTTTAATTTTCTAGCAAGGAGAAATGTCTTCTAGGCTGGGTTTGCTGTAGACCGTTCTCAGTCGACTATTTTTCCGTAAGATAGTCGAGAACGAGCACTGCAGGCGGCCATCTTGACCAAGTCTAACTTGAATATAACTAGCTTGTGTGGCAGGCGTTAAAAGGGGAAGGGAAAGCGCCTCTCGCGCGCTCGCGCGCGCGGATTTACCCTTCCCCTTTCCCTTTTAACGCCTGCCACGCAGACCAGAAGCTGCCATTGCGCTATTAACCCCGGTACCTCATCCTCGTTACATTCGATACCAATTGCAAAATGGCTGCCAGTGACGGTGACGGCTCAATCTTGACGCTAACGAAAAAATTGGGACTGTGAACAGTCTAGGTTCACTGTTATGTTTGCAAAGGATAATTCAACTTAAGGAATGATAAGCAAGTTGCCTTATAATACAGATGCCTAGAAAATTGCGGAAACGCCAGGTTCGTCACCATTGTGCTAGCACCGGCGCTAAGCACAAAAACCTGACCAAAGTGGAACAACAAAAAAATCTTCCACCAACTTAAAGCTTAAACAATCCTTAAGCATCCCGTAACAACCCAATAACCTTTTTATCATATCACGGTTATCACCTTAACTTGATTTTGTGCAATGTGTGGAAAACCAGAGTAGGGGAACAATGTTATTATAACGAGTTGTACATACCTGCACGGTTAGTTTGACGGGATTAAGTGAATTCTTAGAAGGAGGAAAACTCAGCTTGATATTAACTTTGACTTTCAAGGCAAAGTCCACTCCAAGTCTCAGGGCGTGTACAGGAACAGAAACACTCTAAAAAAGATAAATATACTCTTTTAATAAACTAAACAGTAAGTTTTGTGTTAGTCCTGTCAGTACTGTGAGAGAATTAAGCTGCTCTTCCCCTGTTCTGATGTTTCAAAAAAGATGAATACTTATACATATTTAGCCTGTCAACAGGCCTTATGGTTAGGGTATAACGAGAGAATATCTTCATCATTTTGGTTTATTATCTCTCAATTTTAATAGAGCCTGACGCTTACTAACAAATCATATTTATAAACTAGGGAAGGCTTAAGTTTGTAAATCCTGCCCACAGCGGTATAGCCCAACCACTTATTGCTCCGACGAAGGGCTTAGCTAAAGATGGAAATGTATAAGTTATTACAACCAATCATCTGACAAAGAATTACACAATAAATAGATGTTTTTAAAAAAGTCTCACCATCTTTATTTGCCACTGATGTCCAGAAGATACAGGCTTTCCTTGCAATTGAGATCTTGAGTACTTAATAGACAGTATGGCCGGCAGGTTTTTACCTCCGATTGATAGCTTGAAGGCGACACCTACCTCTTTAAGACCTTCACTGCCGAACTTTACAGAGAATATAGCACTTCCCTTCACTTTGAATCCAAGAACTTCTTTCACAAACAGCGCAAATGTTTTCTCCGCTCCAAGGTACAAGGGCTCCGTTTTTGCCCATATTTCACGGATGATTTTATTGTCCTCGTCGTTGGCTCTCCGAATGCGTTTCAAAGAGGTGATTGACGAGTTGGTTGAGTTGTGCTGTTGCATCGGCGCGGAAAAGTTTGTCGGGATTTCGCTTGAATTAGTAGCATTATATGGGAACTTTTCAGTTTCGTTGAGTGAAAAAGTGGTCGCTTTTGAAACTTTAAGCTTCACAAAAACATTTGGATTTATCTTCAAAAAATCGAAATTTTCTGTTTCTACGAGCCACAGGTGCCTTGTCAAATTAACTTTCATTATGGTTGATATCGTATCATTTAGACCCCCGTTGTTGTCAATAAATTCTCCTAAGTTCAACTCTGTATAAAAATGAGAGCTACTCTCAAGTATCATTCCGCTGCTCTTGTTGACAGTTGCAAAATCAGAGTAAGTCATATTCATATCTATATCAACCTCTGACGATGTGTTTGTGAAATCTGAGTTGTTAAAATGATTACTTATCCGGATGATATCCTTATCAGAAGTGGTTGCTTCTCGATGCATTTTTACAGGGCGTGGCAGTAGAAGGGACTCCTCAGGGTGAATCGAGTTGAATCCAGCCCCATTTATACCATCCACGTCTTCGTACAGGTCTCGCTTAAGTGATGGGAGTAACTGTTCAAGAATGCCAAACACAAGACGCAATTGCTCTTCACTGGTGGAATAATTCCCATAAAGTTTAACTAATCTTCCAGTTCCGTTTTTTGCTGTTCTAGAATATAGACGTATGAAGATTGTAAATATCATATTACCCACTCCCCTAAGGGTTTTTCAGGAATAATTTACAACACTGGTTGGTTTCGGCCCTTCGGACCTCATGATCATTTTTTTCTAAAAATAAGGGGGGGGGGGGGGGGGAGACTTCTTTTGGATCTGCCACTGCTGTTTATTTTAGAGGTTCACAAGTAAACGGAAGAAATGGGTGTGTGGGTGGGATATTTACTAGTCGTCTCTTTCATTGTGTAAAAATCCTTATATATTTAAACTTTTGTTCCTTTTTTTTTTTTTTCGTTTAAAAAATATATAATAGATAAGATTATAAATATCCCTCCCCCCCCCCCTGTATGTTTTTTAAAAAAATTTTATAAAAGGGTTTTGGTTTGCGCCCCTTAGTCCCTTTTTTTTTTTTTTTAAAAAAAAGGGGGGGGGGGGGGGGAGGGAGACTTCTTCTGGATCTGCCACTGCTGCTTCATGTAGCAGTTCACAAGTACACGGAAGAAATGAGTATGTGAGTGTGAATTTGAGATAGACCACCACACCAGGAACTACGTCCCCTACTCTTTCGGAGGCAGTGTGTGGGTTCTTTAAGGTGGAAGGTTAGTGATACAATGATAGCTAAAAAAAGTGAATTAACACTCACCGAAAACCCGAGCCATTTATCTTTACATAATTACATTGCTCAAACCCCTTCACCCCACATAGAGTCGCGTTCTTTTCATCTTTTTGAGCTACAAAATATTTAAAATCACCTTGAATCTAGTCGCTGAAGTCGAACCACGAAGTAGTTTGTCCTTATTTGGACGTCTCTACCTATGTCCACATTTCCCCCCACGTGTGACAGGTTGAATCTCATAAGGAACCAGTATCCCTCAGACGTTTTATTAAGGACCCGGATTCCAACTGTTGCGTGGAGGGGTACCTTATGATAATAAGTCAGGAAAGAAAAGCAATACTGTTAATAGGAAAAAAGTCATCAAATTTGACCCATACGACTGCAAGCAGCTTGTAATAGGACATGCTAAAGCACACAGTTAAACAGCCAATGAAAATGAAGCAAAAAATGTCACTAGCCAATAACATTTAACTACCAGATCCCATGCTAATATATATAATACTAGCCAATCATAATCAACGGGAAAAAAGTCTTCATTGAGCATTTTAGCTAGCTTCAGCTTGAAAACATTTTCCCCTTAGACAGTAGAGTTTAAAGGGAAGTCTGCGCTTACATGCATTTAACATTCCCTTACTTGCGTTTCTCATATTTTGGTGTAATTGATACAATAATTCAGTGCTGAATCGCAGACTTTATGTCCTACAGTTCAGGCGCAGTTGTGTTTGTAATTCAGACTTTTATGTCAGAAATTACTCGGCAGGCAATTCTATTACCTGGCAGCACTTAATATTTTGCTTTACTCGCTCCTACCATCATGAACAAAGTTAACAGTTAGTTTAGATCGCACTGGTGAAAGTTAGTAAAACCTCTTTAAAATACGGATTTAACCAAAGAATGAGGCTAAGATGTGTTTTTTTTCTTAAAACCGAAAGGGGTTTGTGAATTTGGCCTTTTTCATTTGTCAACTTGTCTTCGGTTTTTGTCAATTGCAAGTTCACGGTTTTATTCTTTCCTTGCGGTTTTCAAGAGGCACCATTAACGATATGAGCGCCCTCTTATAATGGTTAATGTATGTGTTGTTTACGGAAACTACGCGCTGAAAGAAATATCAAAAAATATAATATCTTTGTCTCAATTAAATTGCTCTGTTTATTCCGCAGGATTTTTTTTAGAGATGCCGGTTTTCTGAACAAATTAAACTAGCGAATTGACCAGAGAAAGGCCAACCCATCATCTTGGCCCCTATTCCTAGTTTTTGTTTATATTGAAGAAAAGCTTTGAACCATAGAAATGATGGACATGGAACCCATAGCGACTTAAACGCAAAATCGTTTTCAAAACTCCAACTAGTTATGGTATTTGAATAACGCCAACACGTGTTTAACTTTCAATGTCAACTGCCAATAAGACCTAACTAAGTTCAAATTAAAGTATTGCGCATTCAGAAAGTTTACAAACATGAATAGAATCCGCCCTGGGCAGCATTTGGTGATACCGAACTGAAGATTACCAGTGACGTCAAACAAAGATTCAAGCCAGGGATGGAGACATAACACAAACACGGAAGTCGCTAACGCGTTCGAACTACCTTCAGACTTTTGCACCACTTAAAAATGTTTAATTTGCAATCGGCATTAAGCGGAAGGGTCGCACTAATGTGCATTTAAATGGCAATTTTATCCTTTTCAGTAAAAAAAATTAGGAAAATTGTGTAAAACCCAGTTAGTACATTAACCATTACAAAGTCTTCCTCCGAAGTATTCGTTTCTCTGGACGAGAATTATATTTCGTCAGTCGCAAAAGGTCGGCACAATTTGGGAATGCTTCGCAATAACACTGGGAGAGAAAATTCGTTGAATTCTTCTCTCATGCATTACTTTTGTTCTGTTATTTACTCTTACACAGTCTGGGTAGCTAAGTATCGTACTTGTCTTGCAGGCTGGGATGCAGGGGCCGAATCAAACGTTTGAGACAACTGTGTAGAGCTTTTCAACAACCATTAAGTAACTTTACCTTTCTGCTTTTCTCCCAGATTCACCTCTACGTTTTGAACCACTCGATATGTCAGAGTTTCGTTTCTCTCCAGTTTGACTTCTGTTAAGTTAGTTGATGATGGTAAGGTATAGTATACGGCCAAAAATGTCACTACTGCAAGTATTGCGACTATTAATAAGACGCCTATCGCAATCACCTTGGACTTACGGGATAGACTCATCGTTGTTCAATGCTGATGATATCAGGAAAAAAGGCACTCTACTTTTGAGGGGTCTTTTGATGACACCACGTTCTCTTCTCAAATGCAAAGACACTCACTACAACGATTAATAATATCGATCAGACAAAATGCCGCACATTCGTGCACGTGATTTTAGAGACATTGTTTAATTTATGGCCCTTAAATTAGAAGTAGCGTAACAAGTATCTGGGATACGTCAGAGGTTGGCAACGAAGGCGGGAAAACTGAAACGCGTTTTACTGTACCACGTCCAAAAAAGAGCAAATTAACGGGTAAGGGCAGCCCTTAACTAGCCTGAAGAAGTTAAAGACAGGCGAGGAGCTATACATATACTAATATAGACTATACTTTACTATATACTACAATATACTATATCCTGCTATATATATACTAATGCAACTCTGTGTTGATCACAGCTGATCTTAAAAGTATTTCATTCGTCGAAGGTTGTTTTATTAAGAATGGCGAATTCTGTATGGCCAGAAAAGATAGACAGAATGGGTTTATTAAAAGTAACCATCACAACTTGCCGGCTGTAGCTAATTCAGTGCCCAATTTTTAACCTATAACATAACAAACATGCACGGAAGAAAGGCAATGTCAATGTCAATAGACAGTCACTTCTTGTCATAAATCAAACTTGTGAGACTCGAAAGGCGTGAAGCCCAAAAGAAGTAAGGAAGTAATTTACAACAGGAGCACCCAAAACCACTTAAACATAGCATTAATGAACGCATTTTAGTATTTAAACGGTAGGTATAGACATATTTTCATCTCCTAAAAATTTTTCATCTGTTCGGATTTCCTAGCTGAAAGTCTAATGATCCGAAAATTATAGGGATCAAAACTTACCTTTTCGAAAATTGCAGCCAGAAAAAAGGCTCCCGAAAATTCTAGGTGACCTTTTTAGGGTAAAAGTCCGTTAAAAATGGGCGATTATACCATTTTTTATGTGTTCGAAAATCCTAGGAGAGGCAGGCAAGCAAGAAATTTTACAACAAATGTTCCGAAAATTCTAGATCTCAAATCGTCTTCCGAACATATATTTTCCAAAAATTGATGTTGGGTGCCCCTGTTTACAAGGCATCATGCAGTGACGCTGCTTTATATAACAGTTACTACTGGTATATGTGTTTAGTACTGGCGGCACACTAAACTTAAACATCCTAACCAACTTGATCGGTGGTCAATTGAAGGGAATTTTTTGCTTGTTTACCACTTAAGGGCGGAGTGGCAGTTGTCTATGAACGCAATTGCTTTTTAACCAACACTTTGTCAGAAGCCATTGTTTAAGTAATTAATAAACTCATTTTCAGCACTAAGTGGACTTTTATTCTTCATGAAAACACTTTAAGCTACTTAATCGGTCATACCCCTAATCGGAGGCTAATATCATACTACGTGAGCGCTGAAGGGCCAATATATATATTTTCCTTTTCCACAGCTTTCTTTATTTTCAATCCAAATTTTCTGAACATTATCTATTTCATATATAGTTAAAAAATTCACTTCAAACGCATCGAATGTATTTATTATTATTATCATTATTTTTATTATTATTATTATTATTATTATTATTATTATTATTATCGTTATCATCATTGTCATTATTATCATCATTATCGTTATCGTTACCTTTATTATTATTATTATCCGAGAAATAACCTGAATTTCATCCGATTACTTGGAGTCGTTATTACTCCCTCAATAACGTTGCTGAGAGGAGAAAACGACTCGAAGCCATCGGATGAAATTCAGGCTATCCGAGAAAATGCTTGGAATAAAAGAAAAAAAGGAACCCGGATTAAAATTTAACATCTAGTTGGAAAACCGCGTAAGAGGTCTGGACACTACATGCCAGCTTTCACGTCCAACATGGCCGCAACCAAAGCTTCCATGGTTTGCTTTGACTCATGCGAACATCATGGGCTTTAATGACCTCATGCACCCGAGAAATATCTACAGAAACGCTCCACCAGACTTCAAAGTGCTTGGTGAAAAATTCGACTACTTTAGGAAGCATACGAAGGAAACTAAACCCGGACGATTCACTTTGAATTTTAAAAATCCTGAGGCGCTGCGAGCTTTAACTTGCGCTTTGCTCGAGCATGACTTCAAGATCAAAATCAGCATCCCATTAGA